CGTGCCGAGGTGCCTCCACAGTAATTTCCGCGGTTACCTGTTGATAAGGACCACGAACAGGTTGAAGATTGGTTACTGGCTGACAACTGACGTGAGCCAAAGCAGCTGCAGCAAGTCTTGTAATTAGTTCATCAAGCGGGGCAAAATCAAGGGCAGCTCGCCCAGCAGACTCTTTGAAGTCTTTAGCTGGCATCTCAACAGCTGATGCTTGGGCGTGATTGTCCTCCTGCTCGGTGCGCAGAGGATGCAAGCACCTATCAGGAGGTAGGGAGATATGGGCAGCTTTCACTCACGTCCCGGGGGAGTCTCTCTGATCGAGATATTGGCTAGCAAGAACATTAACTCCATTTAGAAGAGCAGGAGGAGAGGTATCAGTGGGAATTTGCAAACGCCCCTGACAACCAAAAATTTTACCTGCGGCAGACGCAGAGCGGTTGCCTTGGTCCTGTCCAATGCCGTTGGAAACCAACGTAGCGGTTGAGCGCATTCTTCTTCAGGTACAAGGCACAGGTGTCGTAGCAAGATGACCTGTACCACTGGGCGCATGGTATGAGAAGACAAGCTTGCTAGTGTTACTAGCTTCTTCGACAACAGCATGTGCGGGTAGGAATGGGCGTGTGAAGCAGATTTCGGGTTATCAGTTGGCAAGCCACTGCCGCAACAGTAAAGTATCCCGACGGCTGTACATTAGCTCGTGCGCTCGCTGAGTTCCAGGGTGTGAACTCAGCAAGGTCTGCCGTGCCAAACACAATAGGAGGTTGCTTTGGAAGAGAGGGGATTTGGTGCGCTCAGCGGTGGGAAAAGTAGATTTAATCTGATTAACTAGAAGAGGGCCCTGGCCATTGAAGGGACCAGGGTGGGCTGGCAATGTGATACTCACATGTCTATCAGGATGGCAAGCAAACGAGACCAGTAGATCGGAGTCATTTGGAAGAGGCAGCACGATGACTGCTTGCTCGTAGACTTGAAACTAGAGCTTACCAACTTTAGCTATGGAAACCTTTCCAACTCCTCCACAATGTGTGGGACATTAACTATCGTTCTCCGCTGCTAATAGAGAACAACAACTCCTGTTTCCCCAAGATCACCCCTGGTTTTGCCATTACTCTGTCACCAACCATGGCATAAGAGCTGTGAATAATACTCGGCAGATGTACTGTTTTGACTACAGACTTGCTGCAGGACCTGCTCATAATCAATGATTACAGAATTGGCCGTTTGCATGGGATGATAGAGGACAACAGGGAGGCTGCCGTTGAGGGCTGGTAGGTGATAAAAGTTGGTTTCCTCGATTCTTTCCAAACATGATGTAGCCAGCCTTCTAGACGCGGTGGTGTCAATATCGTCAGAAGGCAACAAAGCTTTAACACGTGCTTCAGGAACAAGACGGTTGTCTGTCTCGCATGTTCCGCCAGTGCGCTGGATAATCTTCAAATCTTATCGATGGAGGCTCACTTGCGCCAGGCAATGTTGGCAATCTCTCCAAGGTGCGAGATAGTGAGCAGGTATTCTACATTGTCAAGTTGTACGCTAGTCATTTTGCAAAGGTCCTCAACAGCAACAGTGTTGGGCACGTCTTTTTTTTTCTTCTGTCCGCGCGGGCGCTACTCTTGATTCCGGACTCAGTCGCCAAGAGACACTTGTCATAAACAAAGCAGTGTTGGGCACGTCAATGACTCTAACGAGTCTGATCTGACCCTGTTGTCTTTGGTAGTTTGCTTTTTTGAGGATACGCGAAGGAGATATTGCGGCTGCAATAGCACGACAAAATGTGCTTCTGGGCCCCGTGGGAATGGACATCGATCTGAAGAGAGGTTTAGCAGCGAAGCAAACATACTTCGACCAGGGAGCTGTTCATGGATGTGCCCCTGTGTAGTCCGACTTGGTATGCATCTTGCAAAACCTGATCTTTAAGCAAAAGTCCATCCTACTTGTTAAGAAGGCGTTAGCAACCCAAAAATCAACAGGACTAGTATTTACAGGCTCGTCCAAACCTGTGAGAAGCATGAGGTATCTCACAACCTCTCCAGGTTTTATGTGTGAGGACGCATCAGGCTGGTTGATAGTGAAGTGCTCTATGGGACATCTATGTACCCGTAATCTAACGTTGGCTCCGGCTTTTGCTTTGCTAACGCATCAATTCCGATGGCCGGTAAGCTAAAAGATGCAGACCATGGAGAGAGGCCTTGCGGTCCTCCTCCCGAATTAAGCTGCAGTCAATACCTGGCATCAAACCAAGAGAGAGCGGCAGTCTTAACATTCAAAGAGAACAGCCTGAGAAAAGTAGAACAGAAGCGCCAGGACCACATCGAAGCGCAAACAAAGCCCACACCCCCAAACAGCAACAAGCTCGGTTAAGCGTGATCAGGTGATACGCACATCAGCGCCCAGACAGTCTGTACAGTCCAGTACGCTGGAAAAGACAAGCTATGCCATCATCAGGGAAGGGAGGTGCTCCCTGGAACTGCAAGCTAAGCACTCACAAACCGCGACTGCCATGCGGGAACGATCAGGCCGTCTAACACAATACCCGGCAGTTTGCCGTCTCAATGCGTCAGTATTGCTCAAGAAAGGCAGGACACTGCTGAGCACCCTGTGCTGCCTGTCCAGAAGTCTTTGGCATGAACAGCAGCATCAAAACAAGGGTCGTGGACGCTGCCCGTGGAAGGACAAGAAATTCTCCTCCGCTGCAGCGACCGCACCAGCATCACGTTATCCACCATGGGTGACGATCGGCAACTAATAACCGGCCTCCAGTTAGTTATCTGCAATCTCCGCTTGCCGGTACATGTTGCCATCCATGGCAGACCGATTAGAGTCAAAGCTCCACTTGCGGAGAGCCACACAGCTTACATGGCGGTTGACCTAGCAACAGGCGAATGCTGCCAGGGGCTCTGCTTGGGCAATAAGCCAGTACACACAGCCAACAGACTGGGTGGCCGGCAGCCCTGCCAAGTACGCTCGGATAAGAGGGTTGGAGGACACCTACCCATGATCTGGGCCTTCCATGACCCGCGGTGGAAAAATTAGGAAAGGGCCCGGGCAGGCATCCAGCTGCTCGATGTCAGATTCCAGCAGACAAGGCTAGGTCTATTATTACGCAGCCATGCGCGGTAATCACACAAGTGAATTTCTCAAGCCTGTCCTTCTCCACGCACCAAGGAAATACCTTTACATCAGACAGTTGTGAGCACGCAGATTCGACGCTTCTGCGTTTTTTTCTGCCCCACCCTGTTTGCCGTCCTATGTTCTTGTGCTTCCAGAATGTGTCTCCTTATCCTCTGACGGTTGGCTCGTGGAAGTTGCTTCCTCGCCTCTACAGGCGTCGTGCTTGTCTCGCGACGACTCCGGCACAGAAAGACAAAAGAACAACGAAGCTAAAAACGAGCACATTTCTTTTAAAAAGAAACAAACCTCTACCGAACTTGAAAGTTTTCTGATAATTCGAATGTGTGAGATAGGGTTGCTACTTTTAAGTTAACTTGTTGTTTTTGAAGATTTTTGAGAGAAAAAGTAGTCTTATTATAAAAACAGAAAAATGCTTTGTTTTTCCACCTCTATTGGAAATTACCTATGGCCTGCCATACATTGGAGCGCGGCAGTATGCTCAGAGAAGTTGCACATTAGGCAACTCAAAGGGTATCACGTCCGGCTTCTCAATGAGGACAGCTCTTTAAGTGGCTCCCACCGGCTGCTTGTGATCCTATCTGGACCTTGAAAGCGTGCTTAGGGATCATGCAGAGCTTTGTGCGGCGTGGGTACACGCGGGTCCCGCGCAGGTTTTTTTGCGCGTTTAAGACGCATTGTTTGTGTGGCGCAGGTCCACTCAACGCATTGGATGAATAAAGGACTAGAAATTCAGGGCCAACATAATTGCTCTTGTCTGAAAGGCTGCGCACCGCATCAGTGATAAAGCTTTCCTGCCACTTTGCATCAGCTCTTTACCCGCTTACCGCGTTTTTAAGGCTTTGCTTGCCGCCAGTTGGCTGGCTTCCCAGACGCGCAGCTTCTCCGTACCTGGTATGATGTCATTCTTTGTAGGATTCCTTCCCATTTAGGCATCCCAGGTAACGAATTAGCTGACTCTTGAGCCAAAGGAGGTGTCGCATCTTACGGCTCTCTTTGTCGTTTTTCTCCTTCACGGCATTTGCCTCTCAACCCCCCCAATTAGGATATAACTCCCAGATCTGGCTGAGTTTTTCTGTTCTCTCCTTCAAAAACATCGTTCCCTTATACCCCCACTCCCAGTCTCCCCAATCAAGCCTTGGATCTCTTCATATACTTTAGGCCTCATTTCTGCCTATCAGGATAGAACTGGCGCTTCGGTCCGGAATTCAAAGCTCTTCGCGCACGTATAAAAAAAGTCCGCCTCCAGGGACAAAAAAACCAATCCAGTTTTCAACACTTCCAAGAGGATTTCCATGGCTCCTCCATACAACAATGGCGCACGGGCCGTTCCATTCGTACAGTTTTGTTGTGCCCAAATCAGTCACTTTATTCAATACACACGGTAAACTTACCTCAAAACACCTACGTGCGACTACGCTTGCACAATATATTTTGCTGAGCAACTTCTTTCATGGAAACTTACAGGTTACCGGTCTATTATACAAACTATTCTTATGTATGCAATGGAAAGTACACAATTGTTTCCGTTTCAAATTGCCAATCTCAACCGTGCATTTTAAACCCATGAAGTTTTCTATTTACCATCGTGTAGTCAATCCTTCCACGAAAGATTGTTTTAATCATTATTTGGCTCGCCTCTCCTGTAACTCACAAAGAATCATGATGCACTGCGCTCCTGAAGAACTCCAGCTTTTTCCAAGCTTCTGCTGGGAGGTGTGCAAAAGTCCGTGGCGAAAAGGCGCGAAACAGGACCCAGTATCCAGTAGGGGCCGCTTCAGGGAAGCGAGCAACCAGACGTCCAGGTACTAAGCTCTGAGGCAGGCCTTGTGCAACGAAGCGCTCGAAAGGATGTTCCGCCGCGTGTCCGCGTCCAAGGAGGGCAGGATACTCACAGCAGACATCTCTTGCAAATAAAATTCCAAAGTAGCAAGGCTCTGTAACCTCATCCTCCACAACAGGTCGTTCACGGCGACACCTTTCTGGAAAGCTGAAATGGCTCCCCCCGGTCGTAGAGAGGCTGGAGTCAGCCCCAAGGAGCGAGGCAACCCCAAGATTGCCAAAATCTCGTCCCACCGTCGGCGGAACATGTTTGGACTTCCAGGGTAGACCAACTCGTCCGGAGGCAAGTTCGCCCACGTCTTTTCCAGAAAACGGACCGCAGCCGGCTCGTTCAGCTTTACGTGCTGAATTCTGGCACCGCGTCGCCTGCTCTTGGGCTTCTCGATCTTGATGTAAACCCAAGGGTGTGCTTCATCCAACAATTGAAGTCGCGGGGCGTCAGTACGTGCCGCCTTCGAGCGTGCAAGAGCTTGCCAGGCCTCGACGCTGCGTATAGAAAGCCGGTGGCCGCCCAACGCTTCCACCGCAGCACTAGGGCAACGCCGACCATAGCTTGGAAGACGATCTCGGGCAGCGGCGTACGATGGCAGACAGGCTCAACTTCCTCCCAGCGACTCACCGTATCCCAGGCGGGACGTAAATGTGGTCTCAGAAGCGGCGTCAGCTTTTGCGAGTGTGCCAGCAGCTGTCTGTAGCTGCCCAAAGAAGCACCTGTTTTGTACAGCGTGTCGGCGTAGTCCCGCAGCACCAAGGCCAGAAGAGGAGCGCAAGAAAACAAAGCGAGGACTGCTGACTCCGAAAGCTCTTCCCTCAGCCAGGCCTTAAAAGTGTCCCAGATGTCGATGCGAACTCGGATCGTAGTCCTCTCGACCAACTCGATGTCGAAAAGCGAACCGGTCCGGATCTGTCGACGCTTGTGCGGGCCCGGGCGGTCAGCCTCGCCAAGCCTCTTTCTTGAGTCCCTTACGCAGGAGCTGACTGTCCTGCCAGCTTCGGCAGCAGCATCTCCAAGCGGCAATAGCCAAGGAGCGGCAGACTCCAGAAAGGTAGCTTTTGGCAACGGCAGTCCAGCTCAGCTTATGCCTCCGCGACCTTCCTCTGAGAATCAAGTGCTCATGGCCTCCGCAGCAGAGAGTGGTACTGTTAGCCAGCGCCGTGGTGGTAAGGACTCTGGTCCGTTTGCGCCACGGGCTTCCAAACCTGCAACAGTCGTATGTCATGAAGCTAGGCTCGATCCCGTGGGCTGTCACCTTCGACTGGAAGCATGGTGCTTCGCAGGATCTGCTGGATCCCTCCTTGCAGGAGGCCATCATTGCCGCCGCTGAGGCGCGGGTCTTGCTCCCATTTGCGCCTCTTTCAGCACCGCAATCACCCCTCCCGTGCGGACCGCTCAGCACCCTTTAGGCATACCTGGCCTTTCTCCTGCCATGGCCTTGAAGGTGGCTCAGGGCAACGCCCACTGCTCGTTCGTTTGTTGGCTCTGGTGGCAGCCGGAGTTTTTGTCTCTGCTTTCCGACTTTCCTTACTTCTCCTTGGCCACTCCCCGGTTGCCAGCGTAGAGACACACGTAGCCGGGGGCAAGGAAGCGAAGAGAAGTGCGAGGCCGGAGTCCAGAGGGCCAAAGAAATTGCCGCAGGGAGCAGCTATGCAGAAAGCGGCAGGCAGCAGGAGAAAGCAAGCTGCCAGGCACGGGCAAAGGAGTGGAATTTGCAGCAGATGAGGCACAGGCGGAAGGCGGGTGCGCTGGTGCAAAAGGAGCGGACGCCTGAAGGGAGCATAAGTCCAGGCGGAAAGGCAGGCCTGCCTGACCTAGCGTGGAACCGAGCAAGGAGCTCGGGAATGCCTTGGAGCTGCAAAGGCTCAAGCTGCCGCTCCAAAAGAAAACGATCAAGCTCGGAAAAGTCGCCGTCTTCAGCGAGGCGAAGCCAGAGGGGTTCGGGCATCACAGGAGGCCGAACAGGACGCTGCCTCGTAGGGTCGTCGGCGGCATTATCTTCAGAAGCGATGTAGGCAGTGTGCGGATGGAGATTGAAGAAAAGCAAGCACGGCAAAGAAGTGCGCGTGCGAGAATTTAGGGAAAAAGAAGAGGAGCGGCCCTTCAGAAGGGTCCCCACACAAACTTGCGAATCGAGTAGGCTGATGGTGCGGGAAGACTCCCAAACAGAAGTGCAACAGGCCTCCTCGGCTGCAAGGTAGCTCTCAAGTTCTTTTATGTTCATGTGCTCAGATCTGCGGCGGCGGAAAACAGCCACCTTCTTGAAACGCAAGGACCTGGCCAGCTGGGTCCACAGAGGGTGAGAGCGGTAGCTTTCGCCCGGCAGCTCTTGGTCGGAAGGCAGCAGGCGGTGACTGCGAAGTAAGGCCTCACTAGGCGACAGAAGCTGGCCCAAAGCCCTTTCGCAGGAGTATGCCTGCGTAGCTCCCGAGCAAGAGGGTAGGCCACCTGCGCAGACACGAATGCCCCCAAGTCGTCTGAAGCATCACTGGCAACGAGGTAGCCAGAGGTTGCAGCACGCATGTCTGTGCAGACCAGTGGGGCCAGAGCACACAGCGTGAAGAGCTCGCGACGAAGGGAGCAGGTTGCCTCGACCAGCCCTGAAGACGAGCGCAGGTGCTGCACCTCCTGCAGAAGACACAGGGCCCTGCGTCTAAAGGTGAGGACCGAAATCCATGACCCAGCCAAAGTCTCGAGGAGGGAGATGCTGAGCGTGGGCAGGGAAGCGGCTGCCAAAGTGATGAAGGCTAGGGGAATAAGCCTAGTCCAGGAAGGCTGCGCAAGCCCAAGTTTCCCAAAAACATCCGCCCCCCAAAAGTGAGCAACCTTGTCCATGAAGAAAGATTTCTTTGGATGCGTTGGCAGCTTAGCCGAGGAGTAGGCATGCTTTAGCAAGGCAACAACACGCGGGCTGTGGCAGGCGGCTAAGTCCAAGGCTTGACCCCGAGCTACACGCTCCAACACCACAAGGTCGTCGATCACTATGCCGAGGCACAGCGGAGAGCGAGGCAGGCGGCCCCTCAAAGTAAGCAGCTGGCTCACGGAAACTGCCCCAGAAGCCAACGCTAACCCAACATGGCTCGCTTGGCCAAACGACACCGAGTTGGTGTCGCCCATGGCGAGAGTGGCGAGCGAGGCTGCCACCGCCGAGCAATTCCAGAGCTCAGGTGAAAAGGCACGGAGATGTTGGAGGTCGTGGGGGCGAAACACATCAACCAGGGTGTACCCTGAAGCTCCAATATTCCTTAAATTGAACATAGCTTAATTAAGAGATCTAGATAAGGCATGTTCTCTTAATTAAGGCA